CAGCTTGATTTGCAAGGCCCAAGAGTATGTCTTGCTCTGCTCTCAAACTTGAAGTCGCCTTCTAGTTGTCGACATTTGTCCTCATCACCTACAGATATTATTTGGAGTCGGATCCAAGCGCATAGTCCCTCTGTATTCTGCCAACAACTTAGAAGTATCGAATTTGGAGGAGGTGGAGCTTTTGCTGTCAGCTCTTCCATAGCGCTTAAGCTAGACTCCTGCCGCCTGCTGATTTGTTGAAACACTGCACCCAGTCCACGTTACAAGTGAATACATAAGCCGATGGTCAATTGAAGGAATCACGGGAAACCAACAGGAGCATGAAATTGTCAGATAGTGTTGGAGCCGATTCAGGCTCAGATTTACGATTCAAATAAGTAGGGTTTTGCTAAGTAATTTGTAGCAGCTCTGCTCCGTTCGACCGGGCAGCCTCACGGGGAGGGCCACGGGAGGAGCGACAATGTCTAAAGTTCAGCGAGAATGAAACGCGGTCAATCTAGACTCAAAAGCAAGCGCCGAAACTCTCACTACTCTTACCTTGTTCCATCGAAGTGCTCCAGCAAATAAGAACTACTATGTGTAGATTCCTTTTCAATGGCTTTGGGTAGAGCATCGGAATTGCCAGTCCAGTCTGTGGTGGAGCAAGGATCATCTTCAAATAGAAAAGCCAACCCTACTTGTAAGTAGAGTGAACCACCGGTACACCGTAGACTGAAGGAGAGGACCTACAACTATCGTCTGCTTGATTCTCTATGTAGCCTCCGTGGAAATTCCCAATCGGTATTCATGAAGATAAGGCTCGGAAAGAGGTTTTGAAGAATTGGAATCCTAGTAAGAAAGCAACGAGCAAAAGAGTTGGCTAGCTTCTCGGTTAGGTGAGCTTGTTTGTTGAGTTGCAAGACATGTTGAAAGGCTTCAGGCTAGGCTGTCTGGTACCAATTAACCGACTTCTTGGGAAAGAAGGCTTGGTTGGCGACGCAGATTCGATACTCGGACCGCGCACGTGGTAAGCAGCGCTACTTGCCACTTCCGCCCGCATATTGGTAAATGGGCAAGTCACTCTCAAATATGTCCACATATAAATAATGGAACATTTAAATGAATTGTAAGCAACTGAATAAGGAACAGCTACACCGTTTCTCCTAGTAATCGTGTAGATACTCCCGCTACACAAAAAAGGTGCTTTTAAATTGATTCAATTGGAAGAACTAAGCAGTTGACACATCTGGCCAATGAATAAAATTGCAGTCCTCATTTCGCTCAGCAATAAATCCAGGGAAAAGCAAATGAACTAGCTCCCGACATCCAGTCTTCCGCACTCTTTGTACCATTCACCAAACTCTTCGTCTGGATTTTCTCGGTGCTAGCCATAGTGGCTCTTGTGCTCATAGTGATGAGCAACTGTAGCTGCAGATTTGATTATGAGCCAAAAGTTGTGAAAGTGCGAAGTCAGC